CCACTTAGGACTAAATCAAGAATTGCCTCTCCTCTTGTGGGTTCCAGGACTAGCTGCTCCAAGAAGCAGTAATTTAAGGTGTCAAGAAACTCTCTCTCCACCCCATCCTGAGGTAACATGTACCCAGTCAATATGGGGATAGTTGAAACCCCCCATTATTATTGATTTTTTTATTTTAATAGCCTCTCTAAATCTCCCTGAGCATTTCACAGCCACTACCACCATCCTGGTCAGGAGGTCGGTAATATATCCCTACTGCTATATTATTCTTAGAGCATGGAATTACTATCCATAGAGATTCTATGGTACAGTTTGCTTCATTTAAGATTTTTACTTCATTTGATTCTACACTTTCTTTCACATATAGTGCCACTCCGCCACCAGCATGACCTGTTCTGTCCTTCCCATATATTTTGTACTCTGGTATTACTGTGTCCCATTGATAATCCTCATTCCACCAAGTTTCTGTGATGCCCATTATATCAATATCCTCATTCAATACAAGGCACTCTAGTTCACCCATCTTATTATTTAGACTTCTAGCATTGGTATATAAGCACTTTAAATGCTTGTCACTTTTTAGCTGTCTCCCGTTACATGACGTAATTGAATGAGACTTTTCGTCATTTGACTGTTTCTCATCAGATCCTACCTGTATTTTATCATATTCCATCCTCTTCTTCTTAGTAGGACATAGACAATCTTCATTACTAGATTCTCCCCTAAGGGATGTCTCTGTCTGAACCATGTGCTCCTCTGCACCTGTCGGCTTTCCCCCAACCCTTAGTTTAAAAACTGCTCTATGACCTTTTTAATTTTAAGTGCCAGCAATCTGGTTCCATAATGATTTAGGTGGAGCCCATCCTTCCTGTATAGGTTCCTCCTTTCCCAAAAGTTTCCCCAGTGCCTAATAAATCTAAACCCCTCCTCCCTACACCATTGTCTCATCCACACATTGAGACCCTGCAGTTCTGCCTGTCTAACTGGCCCTGCGCGTGGAACTGGGAGCATCTCAGAGAATGCTACCATGGAAGTCCTGAACTTCAATCTCTTACCTAGCAGCCTAAATTTGGTCTCCAGGACCCCTCTCCTATCCCTCCCTATGTCATTGGTACCTACATGTACCACTACCACCAGCTCCTCCCCAACACTACACATAAGTCTATTTAGATGTCTCGAGAGATTCGCACTAGGCAGGCAAGTCACCATGAGGTTCTCCCGGTCATTGCAAACCCAGCTATCTATGTTTCTAGTGGTCGACTCACCCATTATTAATACCTGTCTCTTCTTAATAACTGGAGTTCCCTCCCCCAGAGAGGTATCCTCAGTGCCAGGGGTAGACAACAACATCTGTCAATTAACAGTGAATCTTCTTTCCATTGACTTCTCTCTGCCGTCCCTCAGCACTCCTACTGCTGGAATACGAATCCCATGCTTCCAGCTTTTAAGGCCTCTCTCTCACTCTAAATTTTGTTTTATTCTAATAAAGCCGAGAATTGTATTTTGTCTTTAACTATTTGAGATCGCATGCTGCCCAAACCATGCTCACTTTCACTCACTCGTTATCTGGGGGAAGCTGAGTTTTTAAACAGAATAATAGAAAACAGGGGTAAAAAAGCCCTAATAGACCACCTCATCTATTCCCTGGGAACCAGTGCAGAACTGTGGCCTGCAGTGGCTTAGCCTATGTTTCAAATGAAGGGGCTTCTAGCACCTCCCGGGGGAGGCTATTCCACAGCCTTACAGATCTCACAGGTAGGATTTTTCTCTTGACATTCACCCTATATTTTCCCTTTGTTAGTGTCATCCTATTACCCCAGGCCATACCCTTGGCACCAACATAAACATATTTTTTACTTCTTATTATTTGCCTTCTTCATATATTTTTGCATCATGCAACAATATCCAGTAAATTCAATTATTCCTTGTAAAGGGCCTGATCCGACCCCACTGAAGTCACTGGGACTTTTTCCATTGACTTCAATGGGGTTTGGATCAATCTGAAAAATCCCAACTTCCAAAGTTCTGAGTCCCTTTCCTGAGTTGAGGAGTTGAGCACTTCCCAGGATCAGACCGCAAAGAGATTGTCCCCAAGACTAAAACACAAATAGAATGAAAAACTGGTGTGAGGGGGGAAGACACAGGGACAAATTCAGATCTGGTTTAAGCAGAGGCAATGTCAGTGGGTTCCTCAGCTAGAATGGGCCCTGTTCTGCCATCACATTGACTGCAAAGCTCCCCCTGGAGATCTGCGTGTGGAATGATGGCAGGCGATAGCCCAGTGGTGTCATTCA